GATAGATAGATAGATAGATAGATAGATAGATAGATAGATAGATAGATAGATAGATAGATAGATAGATAGATAGATAGATAGACAATTGCATGGGTAGAAATTAAACTGTCACCTGATATATGTATATAAGGTGCACGTGGCCTGTGCTGAGATCAGTTGTACAGTTAGACGATTATAATCTAATTCGACAGTCGGGGTTATAAAGTGGAACAAATAATACACGACATTTCTTTGGTCTAGCACAGACTTAACGCGTTTTCTGTCTGGCTGCATTGTCTCGATAACAACTTGTTTTCTCGGGTGTAATTACTCAGACAAACCTCCGGGAAAAGCTCTCGCCGTGTTTTCTTTTTCTTCCCCCATCCCCGGGACAGACACACAGATAGAGGGGAAATCTATATTACTGGAAATAGCCTGTGCGCATTCCTATTATCTTTAATGTGGAGGCGGCGGGTTCGCGGAATGGAGCCTGTGTCGGGGCGGCCCGGCGGGGCGGAGTCAGCGCGCTGCCGTGATTCCTGGAAAGCGGATAGGGAGAAGCCGCCGAGCGATTCCTGGGAGCGAGAGTCCGATTCAGCGAAGGCAGGAGCCGCCGGGTGGGACCGGGAGAGAGAGGGGGCCACCGGAGCGAGACCCGGTGGAGCACGGAAAGTCGACCAGGGGGTGGTGGAGGGGGGGAATCCTCCGGTGGTATGTCCGTGAGGGTGAAGCGTGTTGAGAAGTCGCCGCTGAGAACCGGAGGTGTTAGCTTAGCTGCTAACTGTCACCGAGCACAACAACCCGGCTGGGGGGAGGAGGAGGAGGAGGGAACCGCGGCGGCCGGCGTGACGTCAGCGCCGGCGGTGCTGCGAACAGTTCTCAGAATAGTCTTCTAGGAAACAGTAAATTTGAAGAGCCGAGCCTTTACACTCTGTCCTTCACACATTTGGATCCCGCTCCGGTGACAACACACTCCGACCCGCTGCCGCACGGACCCGCTTCTTGTTTTTGAGTCTTTTTGAACCTCTTTCAATCCAGGTTTCGTGTTTTCCTGTCGCGTTTATATTCATAAAAACACCCGGTGGTCGAGCGGAGGACACTGGGACACGCCGATCTCTTCGTGTCCCTGTTTTTCATTTTTTTTAAAACAGGCCTGATCATTTCAATCACATGTTAGATCTTATTTTTCCAGATCTGGCTTTTCTTTAGATATACGTGACGGTATATTGTTTTTTTAACTTGTTTCCTGGAGAAGTTGAAGAGACCGGATTTTAGCCCAGAGGATTCAACTAATAGTATGATTCTTTGTGTTCCAGGGTGAGAAGACTTTCCTTTGTTTGCTTCCTCCTGTTATTTGTGTTAAAACCACATCAGAAAACACATCTATTTGTAAATCTAATGTTCTCTTAACTCTATTGTTATATTCTAACAATGGAGTTTGGATTAAAAGTGTATTTTAAATAACTCAAGTGCGTCGGGTGTAAAAATGTTAATGTCCTGTTACACTAATTTAAATTCTATGGATAATTGTCTCTTTCTGTTCTTTTAACTAGAAAAGGGTGATTGAGATAATTTTTCTTTTTAACAATATCCTGGTTTAGACTGTCAGTAATGTTAGTCACAAGAAATATGACAAAAAATACAAAATTTTTCACAAATGTAAGTTGAATAAAATGTAATTATACAAATCATAAATAAGACTAAGGAATCACATTCTGCGGTTGTCCACTTAAAACTGTCAGTTCATCACATTGAACATCTTCTATCTACTTCAAGTCAAGGAATACATGATTTGTGTTCATACCGGATTATCCTGACGATAATGATCTTGTATAAAGGGAGGACGGAGGAGTAAAGCCAACCATGACCATTTTTAAGCTTGTGGTTTTTTCATGACATTTAAACCTTTATCTTCCATCTCATTTCCAGTCCTAGAGCTCTTCTGCCCGGTGCTCTGTCCACTGACGTCCCACAGGGCATGCGGGCTGGAACCGTACCTCCTAACCCCTGCCTTCAAAGCACCCCTTCGCTATGGGACCCTGCAAAGGACCTGCGGGCGATCGCCAGCAACTTCTGCTATCTAGAAAATTCAGGTAAGGTTTGAAAAGTTTCACATTTTACAGCCACCGAAAGTAACAGATAAGAATCTTGAAAGACTCTTGTTCAGATTAATTAATTAATTGAGGATTGTTTATTGTAAAATAATCATGAGGGAACATGCGGAATGTCCAGTGACTAATATTAAGGAATGTGTTTGTGTGTGTAGGTTGGTACTGGGGAGCAATAACTGCGGCTCAGGCCCACGCTGCACTACAAGAGGCATCTGAAGGAGCCTTTTTGGTACGGGACAGCAGCCACCCCATGTACATGCTGACCCTCTCGGTCAGGACCGCACGCGGCCCCACCAGTATAAGGATCCAGTACAGCGGTGCCAAGTTTTTGCTCGACTCCAGCTCTCCGGCCCGGCCCAGTCTGTCGTCCTTCTCCAGCGTGCCCAGCCTGGTGCAGCACTACATGGGACCAGAGAGGAAAGCAGACGAGGGGAAGGTGGAAGTGGAGGCTCCTTCGAAACCCTCTCAGCAGACATTTCAGGAGGCGTCTGTGGTACTGAAACTGAAGCGGGCCGTGTACAAGCCTAAGGGCCTCCCCTCTTTACAGCACCTCACACGCCTTGTCATTAACAGACACTCTGACTGTCCTGACCAGCTACCACTCCCGAGGCCTCTGCTGCGTTACATCCAGAACTATCCCTTCAAGGTATGAGCGTTCCTCAAGGTCATCACAATGGCCATTTTGCAGCTGACTTAAAAGACAAACAACTGTCAAAGAGGTCCTTCGTACCTGTAAATGACAACGCTGCTCCAGCAGTTGAAGGCCAGTCCCGAAGAAACTGGACACAGGGTCGTGTTTTTACTGACAGAATATGTACAAAATCAGTTATCACTGACGCGTCTGGTTTCAGACTTAATTTGTCGAGGGCCGTGTGGTGAAGAATCCCAGGAAGAGACAGCGAACTCAGTACTGTAATCTACACTTATTTTATGAAGGATGTGGAAATTGTTCACATCTATTCTACCCTCATCAGTTTTGAATGTACATATTGTTTCCAAGAAGTACACTGATTCCATTGAAACACCATTTTAATCCATTTTATTTTCTCAGTAAAACATTTTTTCTACCTTTTACATGTGTACATTTTTCTATTAAAATAACTCATTTGATTCTAACTTGCTGTCCTTCACATCCTTTTCATCTTGTGCTGCTTTGAATGACAGTATTACTCACAGGGGCAAAGGGAGGCAGTGTCAACATCCCCGTTATTAACCAACACACAACTTTTCTTGTGACGCTTGTTACGAAATATTTTCATTTTCAATCACAAAGACTTTGTGGCCTTTGAGCTCTAAAGAGTGTGAGACACACACACCGTGTAAGGAAGTAAAGGCCACATTGTGTGTTTTTGCTCAGCAATGCGTACAGCCTGCATCTGAGTCAGCGAATGGACAAGCGAAGGGGAGGACCGCTCATCAGCAGATTCACAGAACTGCTGAATGCTTCCTGGGAGGAGGGTGAGATTCTGAGAGGGAGGGTTCTAAGAAAAGCCTTGGTAATTACCTTCAGCTTTGAGCCTGCTTTTGTGCCAGCTCGCACACATTTCTATTGTGGCACAGGATGTGATCGCAAATGTTACCAGATTTAAAAAAATGCAAACAATGACATGAAAGAGAATTCGGCCCTTGCAAATTGAGAATTTTTGAGTCATTAAAGCAGTGCAAGTGCGTGCTTGGCGGATCAGTGGGGGTAGAGGAGCTGAGGCTGTGGCGACCTGGGATAAAGCCAGTGTAATAGGATCTCAGTTTCTCAATCCAGATCCAGCTCGGGGTCCTTGTATGAGTTCTCTTTTCTGGAGGATACAGAACCGAGGTCTAAAAAACAAAAAAAGAGTCACGGATGCTGAATTTGGACAACATGAACGAAGGACAAAACAAGATGGTGCTAAGCTTAAATCTGTAAAGTTTGATCACTGCAGCCTTTCACTTTCATAGACAGTAATGGATCATCATTAATGCATGAAAATCACAGGAGGTTAAGCGCTGACTAAATAAGATGAAGCCCAGGTGACATACACAGGCCGAGTGGTTTTCTACACAGACCTGCCGGTGATGTCGTGCCGCGTCTCAACATAACGCAGCTCTTCCACATTCGCCTCCACCCACCGCCGAATGAGCGGGGGATGTCTGGGGTCCACCTCTAAGTAAGCACGACTATTATTCACCAGGAAAGAAAAATACCACAAAATGGATTAAAATGTAATCATCAACAGGACAGAATCATCAGCAGTGGCCTTGAGACGAGAGCGGTGGCACATATCTGGAACTGTTTTCACTGGAAGTCTTTTAAAAAGCTTAACTCATTAAAGAGGCAACACGATACATGTTTTTCAGAACACGCTGTTCTTGTGACAAGCCCCTGCTGCTGTTAGGAATTAAACCCAGGTGGGGTGGTGTGTGTGTGCGCGCTTGTGTTAGGCGGAGAGGTTCCTTACCCATTGTCTGACAGAATCTTTGGAGCCATAGTCAAAATCTGTTTGATCACATTTAGGCCATCCTCACCTCCATCTAAAGCAGACGGGTCCTCGAACCTTGGAGTAGTAGAAAGTTTCCAAACATCACTTTAAGACTGTACAGACACTGTTCAACATTTCTAGGAATATACATAATAATATACATTTGTAAAGATAAAGTCATAATTTCACGAGTAAAATATTTAATTTTATGCTCATTTTCTAAAATAAATGTTTTTTCCTTTTATTCTCAATTATGACTTTATTCTCGTAATAAAATGTATGATCATAATCGCGTTTTTCTCTCTTCAATATGGCCTCAAAAGTTCATTGTCTAAAAGCAGTATATATAATAAGTTCATTAAATGGAATTTCTTCTGTCACTTTCTTTAACATTGTGAGATCGGGTGATTTACAAGTTTTTAATTTTTTTCTCACAGAATAAATCATGGATCCTGATGACAAAAATCTGGCATTGTTAGTGGACTGATATTTACGAATGTGTGCAATTTGCTGTGGATCGACATAAAAATCCAAATCTAGTGAATTTAAATGTGGTTTCAGACGGGGATACTTGGATGTGGAGCCGCAGCTATTCAGATAATCAATAAATTATTTTAGGCAAGAAAAGATTTTAAGAATTCACAGATTATCAAAATGTGAGGATTTACTGCTTTTGTCTGCCCTTTGAGTCACATGATAGTAAACTGATTAACTTTGGGTTGGTTGCACAAATTAGGCGTTTGAGGACACCACCCTGGATTGTGTGATAATATACTGAGCATTTTTTTGACCGCTAACATTTTATAGACTAAATGATAAATTAAGAATGATAAATTAAATGAAAACAAGATATTAATATGTCTGACAAAATTGACAGTAATTTGAAAAAAGATTGAGAACAATTTTACAACATTAAAGAAAGTGAAAAAATCCATCACCAAAGTTCTGACCCATCTTTCCTGACCCATTCTGCATCCTTCTTCTACTTTAGGTTAATTCATCCAGTAGTTTTTGTGCAATGCTGCTAACTAATAGACAAACAAACGCAGATGAAAACATAATCTCCTTGCTGGCAGTAATAACTGTTCTTTAAAGCACCAACGAGAGGTTAACAAATAACACTTTTAAACTGTATTATTATATATTACAAGTGTTAGAACCATTTATTTGCAGATAACACTGTTTATAATTACAAACTATGGGAGGATGTGTTTCAGTCACCTGAGAATTTCCGGTTCCAGCATTGACATATCCTCAGAGAACAGGTACGGAGGATTACTGACCAGAGCTGAAGCACGGCTACAGAGTCTCAACGCAGCTTCTGGATCTGACAAAACACAGATTAGAAATGTTTATTAGCGCTGTATTTAAATGTGTTATCTCATCATTTGAATGCACTGCTTTCACTCACCTTTCATCACATCTATATGATGGATCTGTAATCTGTCCTGAAGCCCCAACCTGCAGAGTGAACACTTGATGCATTACTGTATATCTGTATATTAAAATCCTTTACTCACAATAAAAGTTAATCAGTGAGGATATTAACAAGTAGAACAACCTTAGAGCGTTCTCCCTTGTTAAATCCACTGCATGCTGGCTCTGATCCACCGCGATGGCTTTAAGCTAGTGAACAAGATACAGACGTAGCAATTAAAAGCTGCTGATGGGTTTTAACTTGTTAATGGAGAAAATAAAAATCTATAACTTGTATTTATGTTTCTGAAAATAAGCAAATGTAGTTAATACTATGATAGGAGAGTAGAAAGCATCTTTGAGCTGACAATATGAAGAGTGCTTAAAAAAAAAGGATTAAAGACTGTATTCTACAACAAAGTTATTTTACTTCATCTGCTACATCTCATCAATTCGCTTATTGGTCTCTTTTTAATTTCCAATTACCAAATTACTCAACTAATATCTAAAAAAAATTCATGAATCTGATTAAAGAGCTTAAATAAACGCCAAAATATTCAGTTTATAAGGATAAAGAAAGGGACAGTTCCTGAAAACTCCACTTCATGTGTTAAACACAACGCTCACCTGAGGCAGACTCCTCAGGAGGCTGAGAGAAATGGCTCCGGAGCCACAGCCCACTTCCACACATGTATGCAGAGCGTCTGTAGCCTCTTCAGTCCCAGATGTCGTCTCCAGATCAATGAGCACAAGTTCAACCAACTCCTGCACCGACACACAGAGAAAACATTGCTGCGGTCACGTAGGATCCCAGGATTAAGATAAGATAAGATAAGAAGTCCTGTATTAGTCCCACATTGGGGGAAATTTGCCAATCATCAGGGTTTCGTCGTACATTTTACATATGTGTGTGTGTGTGTGTGCGTGTGTGTGTGTGTGTGTGTCTTTGCTCCTCTCCTACCTCTGTTTCAGGTCTGGGTATGAACACAGGAGGCCTCATCTTCAGGGTCAAATCTCTGAAGTCCCACTCCTCAATCACATACTGCACAGGCATTCTACAAACACACACATTTAGAATACGAGGGTTTTCTTCAGGCTTTTTCAGACAGTAAAAACTGTTTCATGTGTCATAGGGGTCAATTTCTATTACCAACCTTAACTATGAATAACACAATAAAAGAACACAACTGGGAGGAATAGTTGAATTCAAGTTACGCTTATATCTCCCATGTAAAATCTTAGGGGACGGATAAAGTCAATTCACCTCGACCATACACTGGCAGATGTGTCTTGGTGCATTCTGTGGGAGTAAATCAACTTCTCCATTGTAAACATTTGATGCTACAGGTTTTCAGTTTCAGTGTTACTCTCATTTCCTAACTGACTGATAAAGCTGAGAAGCAAGAGCCAGTAAAATGGTGGTTTGAATAAGTACATATTTGAAACATAGCCTGAATTATATGGATCTTTGGGGGCTGATGCTGATATCAATATTATCTGAAAATGTAATTAAGGTTTTTATATTTTATAGTTTAAACAAACATTTTTAAATAAAGAACAAAAAATAATAAGAAACATAATCAAAACCACAGATATAAAAGTTGATTAAGAAAATAAACATATTTTTTATAACCTGTAAACAAATGCACATCTTTCCTGCATTGTTAAGTCTGTAAAATAACATTTTCATATCTGCAAATCAACGTTGATACCGATATGTCAGAGAAAATAAAAATGTTGTTTGATTTTCAGTCAAGTGATTTATCGGTTGAGCTCTAACTTGAATATAATCTGTTTATAGTGTATTTGTGTAAACTTTATACCTGGAGAGACGTCTGGTGCAGAGCTTCCATATCTGCTCTGTATCCTCTCTGCTGAGAAACTCTGTTAGCTTCCTCTGCTCCACACTTTCAATCTGCATAAAGAAATGTGAGAACATCAGAGGGTATCCAGTAAACGCATGAGGCGTGTGTACAACGACCCCAGCGCATGTTCAACTCACAGTTTTGGCCCCGAACAAATGTGCAATGATGTAGTGGCTGGACTGTTCGGGCTCTGTCACACCTCTCTCCTCAAAGTGCTTCCTCCATGAATCCATGGCCTGGAGGGCTGTGATCCTGTGTGCAGGTAGGACAGGAGCGCTGCATGCTCGCACAGCACGGGAGCCCCAGATTCCCTGAAGAGCAATAGATTCAAGAGTGTCCAAATAACCACAAATCAAAGCCCCTGTGTGCAGCCACACAGTGGCTCGTCTGTCTGGCTGCAGCCGAGGATGCACTGGCACAAAGTTGAGTGCTGACAGTTATTATTCGCCTATTACACCGTGGCAACCGAGAAACTGGAGTTTATTTGTTCTTAATTTCATACGATTCTCTGATTAAGTGTGTCAGGGCCCAACAAGAGCCTTTTTTACTCCACTGTGCACAAAGCATCATCACATCTGCCAGCAGGACTCCCTTGGATACAGAGTAAAGTGAATGCGACCAGTGAGTTACCTTTGGTCCAACGCTCCTGCAGCCTAACACAGTGCAGCCTGCACCCAGTGACCTCCTCCACATGGTTCATCTCAGCAGACCCCCCCTCTCCACATCGCTGCTCCCATAGTTTCAACAATGAAGTGTGTGTGTGTGTGTGTGACCTCTGTTGTCCTCATACACTGTATATGATCAGTGTGTCCTCGATCTTCACTGTCTGTGTCACGTATGTTGCCCTTTGTGTCAGCTACATAACTTGTTGTGTAGTCGAACAACACAGAGTAACACTGTCCATAGGATTTCCTCCACGCGCTGCAGCAAACGTCACGTGACCAGGAACGACTCCTCCACATGCGCAGCGCGGACTCTGATGTTGCCTTTAAGGACAGTAGCAACAACATGTGAAAGGACAAGCGAGCCACATGAGTACAATATGTACAGATGTGCGATACAACAAGTACAAACTGAGGTTTTGTGTTTGCTCTTCAACACAATGACCTCTGATATTCAATACTTTTTTTTTTTTACATAAAATGTTAGAAATAGTGAAGAAAAAAAATCCGAACTTTCCCTCTGGAT